TTTTAAAAAAGCAGATCACCTTTAAAATACAAAATGAAATCATATGACGGAGCGACAAGCTGTAAAAGCAGAATTTCAACCTTATGAAAGAAAGTGATTTACTCAACTGAGATGTGCCATTTTTAATCTAAACCTAAAGTTGTGATATTTCCTCAAAGTGCCTTATTTTTAATTTGTCAGGAATAAAGCACTTGCATGAATCAGATTCTTTACAAAAATCACAATAATTCTGGACGCCTCAGTGAAACTAAGAAGCCATTTCTGACTTAGTTGCAACTGTGACAAAGTTTCAAGGGCTTTTTGGTTGAACTGCAGGCTGTGTTTAGACAGAACAGAGAGCAGACGAGAAACAAATAAAAAATGTAAATAGTCAAACATCTACTGTAACTAGAGTCACTGTTTCCCACTCACTATTGACACCTCTGGGCACTTTAAAGGTTGTACGTGTTGATTTCAGTTCATTTTTTCATTTTTGTAAAACAAATAATCAAAGAAATTGAACTTTCGACTTTTTATTTCTTATGAGTTACAGTTATACACTAATATTTATTATATCTTTGTTATTCTGCAAAGAGAAGATTTCTGAATTCTCTCCTCTTCTAGTCGTGGTTGTTCTGTTCCCATAAAGGTGCAGGACTTTGTAATGTAACATAAACCCACAGTAAGTACAAATGAGACGGGAGTAAAACACATCCAGAAATACTTCTAGGGTTTTATCTAACGGCAGGTTTTAACTACACTCTCGATGCATATAGCCCAAAACATCCCATCAAACATAAAAAACAAGGCCGTACATACCTCCGTCATGCTTTCAGTCACTTGACATTTTGCCCTGATGCAGGTTCAGTGAGCAAGAACTTGGTTCATCATGTGATGACTCCTTTAGATCTAAGTGTGCAGAGATTCTTTTCACAGGTTTTTGCATTTTGCATGCTGGTTTGGCAAAAGAGTCTAAAGGGCAAATCCTACACTTCTGTAAGTAAGAGCAGCAATAACAGACAATAGAAGCTCTCCATTACAATCCCTGTATTTTAAGTTGACTTAGCACAGTGTGGCACATTTACTGAAGGGGTCGATTGATATTACTGTGATTGAAATGGCTGTGGCATCATTGTTCTTCTTTTTTACTGCATCAAATTTGGTCTGGGATACTGCCAGACGAAGGCCAGAGGGGAGCAACTTATACTCCTGATTGAGAGAATGGGTAGCATCCATAGGAATAAACTGAGCTTTCTTTTTGACTTCTATATTAAAAATGTCTTCAAGACCATTAAAACACACCCCAGCTACTTTAGAGGCTACTTTTACTGTCCTTCCAAGGGAGTTTTTGTCCTTGTTGTCAAGGTTACCATACCACCATATAATCGAAAACGAAACAATTGACTGGATGAAGGAACAGTGGAGGAGCTTCAGCAGGGTCCTATCAACCTGAAACTTGGAGAGCTTTCTCAGACAGAATCATTGTCGTTGATCTTTTTTTTTTTTTTTTTTTAAGATATTTTTGGGGCTTTTCTGCCTTTAACATAAGACAGTGAAAGAGTGACAGAGAAACATGAGGAGAAGAGTGAGGAAAGGACACGCAGCAAATGAGTCGCTCGGTTGGAATCAAACCGTGGGCGCTGCAGGGACTATAGCCCGGTACATGGGTCACCCACCCAACCGGGTGCCCCATTGTTGACCTTTTATAACTGGCTTTTTACATTTTTTTCTACATATTTTGTCAAACAATAAAGGTGATATTTAAAAAAAAAAAAAGAAAAGAAAAGAAAGACAGAAAGAAACTCAAACTTCAGTTTAGCTACTCATCTGTGACTACTGTTCCATCTTAGAGTCTTAAATATGATATTTCATCAAAATTACACGTCTCATTTGCAAACTGTGCCTTTAACAGATTCTGTTAAAAACCAAAAATTCGGGGCGCCGCTATAGCTCACCTGGTAGAGCTGGCGTCCCATGTACAGGGCTACAGTCCCGATGTGGAGGTCATGGGTTAGAATCCCGCTCATGACCCTTTCACACATGTCCTTCCCCCCATTCTTCTCCCCCACTTTCCTGTCTCTCTCTCACTGTCACTATCAAATAAAGGCACAAAGGCCAAAAAAAAAAATTAAAAAAAAAAATTCTGGGCGCTGCTATAGCTCACCTGGTTGAGCTGGCGTCCCATGTGCAAGGCTACAGTCCCAATGTGGAGGTCATGAGTTTGAATCCCGCTCACGACCCTTTCCCACACGTCCTCCCCTACTCTTCTCCCCTACTTTCCTGTCTCTCTCTCACTGACCTATCAAATAAAGGCACAAAGGCCAAAAAAATAATAAAAAATAAATAAATTCTGTGCTCCTCTGTGCAACTAGAAAGACATTAATGACTCAGTTGCAACCAAAATTCACAAGACAAAAGTTCAGGCAGTTTTAGGCTCAACTGGGCTGAACTGCAGGCTGTGTTTACACAGATCAGATAGGAGACATGGGTGGAAGCAAAGTAAAAATCTAGGTAATAAAATACATCTCCGATTACCTCCGATTGGTAACACCTATGGACACCAAAAACCATCAAACAAATATAACTTTGTGCATCTGTTTAATGATTTATGACATTATTACTGTGTTGTACTACATAGAAGACATTTTTGAGCTCTCTCCACTTCTAGTCACCGTTGTGTTGTTTCCATAGAGGTGCAGGACTTTAGATTGAAGTAAAACATGAACCAACTGTTAGTGAAAAATGTGACAGGAGCAAAGAAATTCCAGAAACTGCTTGTAATCAAAAATATTTGCAGTAAAAGTATTCATTAGTCAGGCTGACTATTTCACTCAAAACCAGCACGATTTATTCATTTATTTAAGTATTTTTGCCTCCAGTAACAGTGGTTTTGGGGCTCTTTACAACTACAGCTGTCCTCTACTGTCTTAAATGCATCAAACTTTGTAACGTTTTATATGGTATTCAAAAGTTCTGGACCTGTGAAGAATTTGCTGAAACACAAAATTAAACTACAGGATTGCTTCACATTTACAAATCAAAAAGTAGCATAGACACTGCAGGCCCATTGCATCTCCTAACAACGGCGCTTATCACATGACGTAGTTTTAGTTTATGGAGAAGAGTTGGCAAACGATGAGCTTCTGATTTTGAAAAGTCTCCAAATTAAGTTGGTGATTCACAAACAAAACATTCAATCAGGTCATAAAATGTGATTCCTGTAGCTGAAGACGACCAAAAACAATATAAAATTATTAAAAGGGTTTGCCTGCTGATGACATGTCTGTATTTTAATGAAGAAAACTTTTGAAAGCAGGACCTTAACTTGTAATTAAGGGTTTTATGCAAATATAACAATCCTAATTCTGTTCAATTTGTTCTTCAAACACTTGAGGCATTTGTTTTCTCTGTACATGTGACATTAATGCATGTCTTTCTGTCCTGTAATGGTTAAGTTTTCTCCCTTATTCTTCTTAAAGGGTCTTTTGAGGAGCTTTTAACGCTCCGAGGCGTTTATAGACTGTTAACCTCTCTGAGACAAATTTGTGTTTTATAATTTTGTGATTCCATAAATCAAACTGCCTCATCTGGAAGCCAAATTATTTGTTGCCTCAGCTGGAGTTCAATAAATCAACTGGATCTGTGATTTCTAAAGAGGTGATTACATGTGTATTGGGTGGCATTAGTGTTGGGCAGCTGTATGTAAATGGGGCAACACTCCCCTCTAGTGGTGTAAAATTACACTACTGCTACTGATCATCAGTGAAATGCAGTGATTTGATTCAGTCTGTGTGGAGGATTTTCATGAAGTCACACTGTAATAATAGTGATCAACCAATGGTAGAATGAAATGAAATGAAAAATACTTTATTTATCCCAGAAGGGAAATTCAATTGTATGTAACTAACTACATTTATTCGAGTACTGTACTTAAGTAGAATTTTGAGGAACTAGTACTTAAGTTTTCCATTACTTCCACTAGTCCATACCAGTATATTGTAATGAGAATTCACAAATGATGAGTGAATAAATATAATGTAATAACAGTACAAAGTATTCTAAAATGATTGACTGTTCTGCATGAGGACTATTTTTTAGTCCTTTGGGAATATGTTGTTGTTAAGGAATACAATTTGGCAAAAAAATAAATTAAATAAAAAAGAGGGAAGGCTCAGCGCTCACCTTGAGTCCAGGGCACTAAAAACTAACATCCACATCAAGAATCTCAGATTTTCAGCAGCTACATTAAAGCTTTAGACTAAGTCCTCATTCTGACATCTTAAAAACAAAAAGAAACACTTTGAGTCCAAGGAAAAGTTAAAAAAACAAAAAAAACAACCCTCATTCATCCTTTTATTACCTTTAGAGCGGACCACTGCAATGTACTTCTTACTGGCCTCCTTAATAAGACCATTAAACTAAACTAAATCAAATTTAAAATTGTCTTATCTATAACTTTCTGAATGGGCCCAAAATATATCACAGATGTGTTTACTGAGTTCAAACGTGCTTGGTCAGTTTTAATTCTATAAAAGTTTGCGTGCGTTTTATTCAAATTGTCTCTCTCTTCTTTCCTTTTCCTCAGTTTCATTTATTTCATTGTGCTGACCCTGAAGAGCACATTGAAACCCTCTGTGTATACTAAGGTGCTACATAAATAAACAAGCTTGCTTAATGCTGCTTTTAATTGAGTGAAAAACTTAAATGAATGACTTTTGCTTGTAGCACAGTGTTCCTACACTGATCAGAGCGAGTTTTCCATCACTAATTGTACACATGCAGGCTCACTGAAGCACCACTAACTGTCAGGTTTATTCAACATGTGGCAGAATCACGGCAGCTACAGTAAAACAAACATCCATCAGTCTGACACTGGCATAATAAACGGAATAGCAATACAAAACACCTGTAATGCACTGTTTTGACAGAAGCTATCAAAACATGATTGCCATCATCATCATCATCATCATCATCATCACCACAAACAACAACAACAACGTCACGTATCGCGGACGCGCTCGAGCCGACACCACGCGACAGGGACTGACAAGATGGCGATCATTTTAGAAACAGAGGAGTTACTGCCGTGAAGGAGAGGCTCGGTATGCTCTTTTCTTTTTACAACAAGTCTTTCGTAACACGTTTTTAACAGTGTAGCCGGGGATACGTTTGTTCTCGCTGAAACACATCCACCAGGTTGGTTCTAAAGCCGAACCCGACGCTGGGAGCCGACCTCCGGCATGAACTTGTTAGGATTATCGCTGTTAGCCTAGCCGGCTAATGCTAGTTAGCATGATAGGCTAATGTTAGCAGCAAGGACACTAATCTCTAGAATAAATACAATATAAACGGTGAACGTCGCTTACATTTCGGGTGTTTGTGTGTGCTCGAGATATTTTTTGAGCTATTTTCGAGCGTTATTTGTGTGAATTATGTTGTGGTTTGGAGCTGCTTTTTCTGTGATTTCATTATTTTGTAATCGTAACTCTACATAGCTATCAATTACACGGTAGCATGGCTAGCTAACCTTAGCTGCGGAGACAGAACTTGTAAAGTTGGGCTGTCTGGACAAACATTACAACTTGTGTGGCTTTGCTGTTGTGTCGTGCAGTTTGTTGAAAGGCTACGCTGACTGTTTGAGTGTAGTTGTGCCTTATTTACTCAGTTAGCGTGAGGCTGCGTGCTGTTCAGCCACTTAAGACCATGCAGCCACAAGGACAAACCTGGCAAAGCGCGCTAACTTGCTGATAAAACTTCGGTGAAATTAGAAGCCCTGGAAAACAACTCTCCTAGGAGTCATCGCATTGTTTGAGATACTGGAAACCTCTCCTTTCGCTATACATCAACTCAGAGGCTTTGTTCCTAAAGCTGTGTTCTGATTACTTTGCTTTAATGTGGGCAATCTTTAACGAGGTTCTCATGTGGAGGCTGGAGCTCTGACAGCGAAGTGCCACGTTATTCTCTATGTTTATTACTGATCGTGATGCCGCCTGAAAGTTCTCAGTGAAAGGATTTCATGCTCCACATTTAGCAGTCTTAATAAGACTTTAGGTTAGTTATCACCTCAACAGGATCTGTGTTGGAGCCGTGACAGCAGTGAGATCTTATTTATATCACAGCGGCTGCACGGAGTCAAGGCAGCACAATCTGATGAACTCTTATTGAATAAACACGCCCACTCCTGCATTATAACCGGTAAACAGACGCCTGTTTTCAGTGTTTTTAGCTGTCTCTTGTGATTTAAAAAGTGGTTTATGAAATGATGGACTGATGCAGAAGAATTAAATTGTTAAAACTATTATTTTCCAGAGTTAGAAACTGGGGCTGCAGTATGTGTTGTAAGTTTTTTTTTTAAATGCAGAAACTTTCACCAGATGACTTGAATAATTCAATTTGGAAAGAATTAATCATTCTACAGTGATTGGGGTTTTATAGGGGAGTCTATATCTGTCAAAAATTAAAATGTGTTTTGTAAAATTAAACAAAGCCTGTTGGAGTCTTTCTCCAGTGACATACCACGTGCTGCTTAAGGCATCCACATCAGTTATTTGCTTTATATGCCAGTCAGATCTGGCTTTGTACGCGTCATACAGAGCTTAGGTGTGCTTATTTAAATAGTCACCCTGCAGCTCAATGTCTTGTACGTGAAGTTTAAGAAACTCAGTGAATCCAAGAACCTTCAATCAGAGTTAATTATGTTCTGTCAGACAGGCTTGTCTTGAAGGATGTTCATGGAGAATGAAAACTGTGAGGCTGCTTGTAGCAAGAAGCAAAAAAGTTGTAGCATTATGTGTTTCCTCCACATGACTGTCAATACTGAAGCAACATACTTTGCAACCCTATTAGAAACCTCAGTCTGATCTCCCTGTAAAGCCATCATCTCTATACCCTCCAACACTTTCCCTTTCTGTTGCCTTGGGATTTTCCTAGCGTGGTTTTTTTCCTCAGTTCCCCTCATTCATTTCCCCTCCCAAAGGTAGTCCTGTACCCAAACAAAGGGAGTACCACTTTGCAAGCTCAGACCCCCTTTTGTTGGATAATCTTGCTTCTTTGACCTCAGTGGGGGGGTTGATAGAGCTCAGCCCACTCAAGGATCCCCACTTTCTCAGCAGAGGTACACCAACCCTGAGGGAAGTGAAAGGAAGCCACAAGACGTTATGTGGAGACCGATTGTTGGGTTTTGAGTTGAGTGTAGTTGTTCTTCTGTCTCTGTTACTGGGCCTAACGAGTTTTTATTTCTTAATTACTGTTTCGTTAAACGGTTTGTCAAGTTGACATTTTCACATTCAGGTTTTACAGCCTGTGTTTAACTGAGACACTCTTCTGTTTTTGAGTGGATGTGCCTGGCATTGCTCGGTACAGTCATGCTTATTAACCAGTTCTTTTACTGGTGGTGCTGTTAGGAAATGTTAAAGTCTGCTTGCCACCTGGTAGTCTGCCGCAGTTTACTGTCTGTAGCTACTGCCTCGTAAAACCTTGTCACTGGAGGTAAAATGCAAATGCTTTGCGGTAATCATTTTGTTCCAGGGTTTGTTCCAGCATAAGAGCAGTGTCGCTTAATGTAAAAATACACCAGCTATGCTTTTTAAAATATGGATGTTATGTAAGGGAAGACTGTAAAACAATATGAACAAATTGTAACACCAAAGGAAAGCTATTGTAAATTTAATAGAATGCTTTGACAGGTCCACTTCAATTTTCCTGTAACTGCTTTTTATTCATCGTGATATTACCTGATATGCTCTCTTCCCTCTAGACAACACCACCATGCCCTGGGAGCGTCCAGTTTCTAAGCTCACCATGGTTACCATGGTGATATGAAGCCAGTGTGAAGCGCTGACACACACACACAGACTCACACACAGACGGTCAGTTATTGACTGACACAGCCAGCCAGCTCGGCAGGCAGGCGTGTGTAATGGACAGGTGTAAGCATGTGGGGCGGCTGCGGCTGGCCCCAGACCACTCCATCCTCAACCCACAGAAGTGGCACTGCGTCGACTGCAACACCACAGAGTCTATATGGGCCTGCCTTGGCTGTGCTCATGTGGCGTGTGGGCGCTACATCGAGGAACATGCTTTGCAGCACTTCCAGCAGCAGCGGCACCCGTTGGCTATGGAGGTTAATGAACTTTATGTGTTTTGTTACTTATGTGACGATTACGTCCTGAATGATAATGCCACCGGAGACCTCAAGCTGCTTCGCAGTACACTCAGCGCCATCCAGAGCCAGCGCTATGAGGTTACCACCCGCAGTGGGCGCACCCTCCGCTCTGCTAGCGCTGCCCCGGACGCCCTCATGCCATCCGGTGCCCGCGAGCTTCAGCTGAAAGATGAGGACAGAATGTTTACTGCCCTCTGGCACCGCCGCAGGGCACTTATGGGACGCATCTTCCGCTTTTGGTTTGGCCTGACTGAATGTGGAAAGAAGAGAGAGGAAGAAGAGAGGAAGAGGGAGGAAGAGGAGGAGCAGAAAAGGGAGGCCAGGGAAAGGAGGCGGGCTCTAAAGAGGCAGCTACAGGAGGAGCTGGAGAACGCTCCTCTCAGGAAGTCTCGTCGCTTACGTCGGAAAAGCCAGAGAGTTGCGGATGCGGCAATCACAACACCAACCTCTCGCAGGGTACGCAACAAGACAAAAACCCCTGTGCCCCCATCTGTCACCCGCACACCACGGACTCAAAGCCCTGCCGCTGCTACCCCCAAGAAAGCTGGACGAACGAAAAAGGTTGAGCCAACTCCCAAAACCCGGAGTCGTTCTTCTACTACCAAATCTAAGCCCAAAACACCCTCATCAACCCCTCGTACACCCCAAACCCCTGTACGCCGCAAGCAGAATACCAAACAGGGTGGCTCACCGTTCAAACGGCGTCCCACAGTCACTCCTGGAGTGACAGGCCTGAGAAATTTAGGAAACACCTGTTATATGAACTCCATCCTGCAGGTGCTGAGTCATCTGCATGTTTTCAGGGAGTGCTTTCTGCGTCTGGATCTGACCCAGGCACTGGAGCTACTGGCATCTGCCGTCCACGGCCAACTGGCAGGGAAGGCGTCATCGCATTCCCCCATGGTCCAGAGGAAGGGTCTCCAGACCAGCTCGGGTTGTGGTGTTGGGCTGAGCGGCGGGGCCTCACGGGCCCGCAGCATGGAGCTGATACAACCCAAAGAGCCCAGCTCGAAGCACATCTCTCTCTGCCACGAGCTGCATACCTTGTTCCAGGTTATGTGGTCTGGTAAATGGGCGCTGGTATCGCCTTTTGCCATGCTCCACTCTGTGTGGCAGCTGATCCCGGCGTTCAGGGGCTACGCTCAACAGGACGCCCAAGAGTTCCTGTGCGAGCTGCTGGATAAGGTGCAGCATGAGCTGGAGAGCACCGGCAAGCACACGACCACCGCAGGAGTCCCACAGACACAGAAACGACTCATCAAGCAGGTGCTCAGTGTGGTCAACACCATCTTTCATGGCCAGCTGCTCAGCCAGGTATCAGACACACACTCATTGTGAATCACCTTTACAAAGCAACCTCTGAGTTACTCAGCAGTCATCCTAAGCTTCATTTGACTCATCATGATGCAGGCACACATTCACCCACTCAGATCTGCACACAGACACTGATTGCATTGATAAATCACCAGCCATCATCAGTTCTGACGGAGTTTACTAGTTCATAGTTAATTCATACAAAGGCCTAAATGGATGTATTTATCACTGTAAACTGATCAGGCCTGGTTAACCCCTCAGCACTGACACAAATCTTTAAACTTAGAGTTATTTCAAGGGTTGACTTGGAAGTATTTCATGCTATTGTTTTTTTTTTTCTTATCTAATCTCTTTAAACTAGTGCTTGTGGACCATTAATCAGAGAAAAATGTTATCGTATAAATATTACGATCTTGATTAGTTACGCACAGGCTGCTTGAGTTGCAAATTTCAGAGTATTTCTTTAATACATTGACTGTACTTGCTGGACAGAACAGTTGTTAGAACCGCACTTAAAGCACATAGAACAGTAGAATGAAACAGAGTTCATCTTGTGTTAAAAACACATTTTTAGTTCGGAAAAAGACAACTACAGCTGGAATAGCCAGGGAAGTAATCAAATACTTGATCATAAGTTTAGTACTCTTTAGGTACTTGGAAAAATCATTCATCATTGGAGTTATTTGTTAAGAAAAAACATGTGACTCTTTGACATTTTTTCGGTAATGTATGATGCTTAACTTAATATTTTCAGGTTTTGGACTGTTGGAATATTGATGCACCTTCCTCTGTTGAAAATTGTAATTTCACATGTTTCTGACAATTTACAGAAAGAATGATGAATAATCAGCAATAATGAAAATAATTAGCTGTACATCCTGCCTGTATTGTGTTTGTCTGTGATGTCTGAGCTGCAGTGCACTCATCTCAAACTGAATGTATAGTAGCTCCACATTGTTTTATTAGGAATAAGCAGCTGTGTAAAATAGACTTTACTTTTATTTCTGTTGTAAAAGTGGTGCACCGCCTACTAGTGCAGGATCAGCTGCTAAAGATGACAATGTTTGGATATATGAACATGATGCTGAACAACTGTAGGTCCTCCATTTCAAGTAATCAATGGAGGAGGGTGTATGGAGTGGGCAGCCTGAGGACAAGCCATTAGTGTCTACTTGTAGAGTCTGAGCACACACTGTGACACCTGCTCCTCCTGAATAGATGGCTGTGTGACTGTGAAGGTTTGAGGTATCTTGGCTCTGCGGTTATTCACCACGTCTCTGACTCAGACTTCCTTTGCCCCCAGCTAACAAAGGCAGTAGCACTGTACCAGAAGTGTGGCAGTTAATATAAAGTCAGAGGCGTAAAAATCACCATATTTGTAGTGATAGTTTAAACAGTGTGAAATGCTGGCAGGGGAAGAGCACACATGATGGACAGAGTTCCTATTCATTAAAGATACATTTCTACACCAGCACAGTTGGGAGTTAAAGATCACAGTGCTTTTACACTATCCTCTCTAACCTGCTTGTTTCTTTATCTTCCACATTGTCATCTGCAGGTAACATGTCAGGCCTGCGACCATCGCTCCAACACCGTGGAGCCGTTCTGGGATCTGTCTCTGGAGTTCCCTGAGCGGTATCACAGTAATAGCAGGGAGTCGGCCGCTCAGGCTTCATGCCATTTGACGGAAATGCTGGCCAAGTTCACAGAGACTGAAGCGCTTGAGGGAAACATCTACGCCTGTGACCAGTGTAACTGTGAGTTAAACGATCTGCACACTTTGTTTGTGACTAAGATTTTAGCTCAGAGGCATTTCAAGAGATTCACACCTGATATTAATATACATCTCAAATACAGACTCTGTCCTCTCTGTTTCTTCTGCTCACACATTGGAACACAAAAGTGGTACATGATCATCATAATTATTGTTTGAGGGAAATGATAAGCTCTCTCCCCTCTCTATTTATCTCTGCTTCTAAGTAAAGGTTATTTGCTTTTCACTTCAAAGCAGAAGTGTTACTTCATGTACCTGCAGCCTCGAGGCTTTTGGTTCTGGTGCATTTATTCTTTGGACAAAATCCAAATAATTAAATGGAAACAATCAGGGTTTGATCTAATTTTAAGTTAGGAAATCTATTGTGGTCCCAAATTGGTGAGCAGCTGGCAACAAGCAGTGAGTGATGCCTTTAAAATCTAGTCACCACTTTAACCCTTCAAACCTCAAGCAGTTTCTGGGTGTTTTTAGCCCCTGTCACATTTTTGCTCACTGTGGGCTCATTTTTCTATATAGAGTCCTCTACCTGTATGAAAAAGAACGACCACGGCCAGGAAAGGAAAAGTGTTGTGCATGTCAATTCAAGATCTTTTCATTTCTTTAAAATGAACAATCAAGACGTTCTGCCTTTGGTTTTCTGTTTTTATGATGTATGGTACTATAACTGTCATACTGCACAAAATACAGTTCTCTCTTATGAAATGAAATGAAATGAATGAATGAAATGAAAAATACTTTATTTGTCCCAGAAGGGAAATTCAATTATAAGTGCCCACTTAGGGGTGACTCAGTAGATATTTTACTACTTAATTTTGGAACTATTTGTAAACACAACCTGCACTTCAGCCTATTTTAGCTGCATAATCTCTGAACTTTTGCTTATATTTTCTTGATAAGTAGCTTCATTTGTGAGTCTCTTATCGATACATAATGCCCTCAAAAACCACTGGCGGCCTTTGAGTTACAGAGGAGTAAATCATGATCCAAAAAATGAGCTATTCCCGCTGGAACTTTGCTGTTAATTAAGTTTAACTAAAATAAATATAAACTCTAATTACAGCTTCTCTGATCTGCTGTGCACCCTCACTGTAGTATCGTCATGCAAATTCAAGTCTGCTCTCAGACAGCTTGAATGTCCATTGCTCACAACAATGCAGTAGAGTAATGTTTATAATGTGTTTTATCTCCGTCTCGTGTTTGCAGCTGCCAGACGGCGAACCTCCTCCAAACCAGTCATCCTGACCGAAGCACAGAAACAACTGATGGTCCACAAACTGCCTCAGGTCCTCCGACTTCACCTCAAACGCTTCAGGTATGATGTTACACCTAAGTCGATCACTCTGCGTGGCTTATTTGATTGTTTACAACCTGATTTAGTAGAAGAGCATTGATACGCAGCAGCCCAGAGTATTGGTCAAATTTGGGGCTGGTTTTTCAGGAAAATTGAATCTAAGCAAGAAATTCCTCCCTTCAGCCAGCTTCATGCTGTGTGAGGAAAAAAATGAAATTGTGTTATTAATACTTATTTGTTTTATCAGTCCCTGAAACTCCTCCCTTCCACTCTTTTGTCAGGAACAGTCAGAACCAGGAAGTCTGTGACTGCTTATTAAACATTAAAGCTAAAATCAGGTTAAACCAACAAAACTGTACAAAGCATTTGGTTCAAGTTTACAAGAAGTTTTTGCTCAGTGACTCAGCACTACTGCGATTAGTGTACATATATTAAAAAACAAAACAAAACATGTAAAGTGTTTTCTTTTTAGCAGTAACGTTGTGCCCAGTTATAGTGAATCTTACTGTGATGCACACTGAGTGCTCATTGGCTGACTGTCCTCTCTCTGACTGGTGATTGGTCCTCAGGTGGTCTGGGCGGAACCACCGGGAGAAGATCGGCGTCCACGTCAGCTTCGACCAGCTTCTCAACATGGAGCCCTACTGCTGCCGGGAGCCGTCACCCAAAGTCCTGCCCTGCCCCAGTCCCAGCAGCCCCAGCTCTCCAGGCTCGCCACGCCCAAAGCACTTCCTCTACGAACTCTCCGCCGTGGTGATGCATCATGGGAAAGGCTTTGGTTCAGGCCACTACACTGCCTACTGCTATAACACAGAAGGAGGTGAGCAAAGAGGTTCTGCAGGATTTAAGTCCTAAGTTTTTCCTATGCAGATTTGTTTACTAGTAAGAAGACAGCATCACACCTGCACTGATGTCCACTGGGATGCACTTAAAGCAGAGAAAACAACCAGTGTTTCCATCGAGGGTGTCACTGTTAGCATTGTCGCTGTGAGCATTGATATTCACTTGTGTTTGCTGTTACTGATGCTATTGAGCTGAGCTTACTCACCGGACTGAAGCACAAAGTAAATTCCACCAGGGTTGGTCATGCGGCTAAAAAAACAAAACAAAAACAATAAATCAGCTTGCTTACATTAGCATGTAGCCAAAGTGCAGCTTCATACGGTCACAAGCCTACAGGCTCCTAGACTTGTTGATGTCTTTTCATTTTCATTACTGTTACACAACTTCTAGCTGGGTTTGTTTTGAAAGGTCCACCTTGTGTTACATGTGAACCTCTGGGGTCTCGGCTAGGACTGCTCATGTTTTGTAAATCTGATGTTAGAACACCTTACTTCACTCTTTTCAAGGTGATTTCTTTTTGTCACAAACCAAAAATGAACTAAGTGGAAAGATCGTGTGCACGGCGCTGCAGCCAGCTATGTAGCTGGAGCTGCTGTAGCCTGTTCAGGAAACTGAGGTGTTCAGGGTACAGTTTATTTTTATGATTTTGAATTCAGATGAAGAAGAAGCTTATTTTATATTTTATTTAGCTGCATGTTTGGACATTGGCAGGAATGTCAGTGAAAGTCATGAAAGTCAAGATTGACTGACTTTTGAGTTAGACCATTTAAATCATCACCACAAAGCTCTGTGTGACAAATGCACAGACAGGTCTGAATGTCATCTAAAGCAAAAAAAACAACACTATTACACATGTCATTGTCAGTGTTACATCATTTGGAAAAAGGTTCCAAATGGTTGCACAAAAGTTATTTTAGGGTTATTATACAACAAAGTGTATGAATTCATTACTGTAAGCTGAAAACCAGTGACTAATATGATTCTTTTTTAGCCTAACCTGGGCTATCCTGGGAATATATGTGCTGTTATAACGTTATATAATATTCTAAGTAGTAAAAATATATAGAACTTATTATATTTTAGACGCATGACTTTCTTCAGACTTGCAGCCCCAGGACTGTGATAACAAAAACAAGCATCCATTAAGTGATTCTCCAGTTGCTCACAAGTTTCTGATACCACAGATCAGGTTTGTTGCGTTCTGACACGTGATCCTTAAATGAATGAGTACGCTAACATGTCGGTTGATTTAGGAGCTTCTCCGGGTGCTACAGCTGCATTCTTACAACGCCTTTCTCTTTCTCCTCCTCCTCCTCCCCTGCAGGCTTCTGGGTTCACTGTAATGACTCTAAGATGAATGTGTGTTCGGTGGAGGAGGTGTGCCGTGCTCAGGCCTACATCCTCTTCTACACACAGCGAGTAACTCAGGACAAAGACCGGCCGCTATAGGACCACGACCCCCATGAACCTCCCCCCTCCTCCTCCTCTTCCTCCGCTGAAGCCCGGCCACTCAGCGAGACGACATCAGCACAGCCCCACCAATCGCTCTTTCTCACTTCCCTCGAGCATTTTATATGACGGGAGGATGGGTGTTTTTAAGTCTATTTTTCTAAATGATGAAAAAAGAGAGAGGAAGGACTCGTTTTTAAAATCTGGTTCTGCTTTGTGAACTTCTTGTATATGGTGTTTATATGTAGGTATTTTTTTTAAAAAAGATGGTGACATTTGTGATTAATGTACAGCTGTATTTTATAAAGAAGAGAGTATCAGCCAAGATGTGTCTCAGTAGCAGCCAGCAGACTCTGGCCAGGCATGACTACATACGTACAAGTGTCCTCTACAGGTGTGTCACATGTCTGCCGACCTGCGTTTGGTGGCTTGTTGATTGTAAATGCTGTTTGTTCGTTTAAATCAGCTGAAATTGTTTCTCAGTCACTTTAGATAGTCAACACAGAACTGGATGTAGGTTGTAAGACGTCATTCACTCAGACATGACCTCCCTGTGTTCTAGACAGGTAAATGTTTTTGATAGCTGGCTACACTTTGGCCCTTCTTTCCTGCCAGAAATGCACTAATTTCTACAGAATAGGTTGCGAGCATTGTTTTTATTCACACGGTTTGTTAAAAGTCTGCACACAAGAAATGCAGGAAGTTTATTTTTCACCCTGAAGTACTCCTGGGTCTGAAGCAGACCTCAAGCCAAAGCCTTGGGGGAAGTGTTTGGAAAAACCTCTCAGCATTTCCAAAACGGTTCAACATTTGCTGGGTTGTTCTTAATTTTTTCTTCCTTCCTTTACTGAAGGGGGGGAAAAAAGTTTCCAAAGGGATGATTTTTGGCTCAGTGCTGCCATCTTTCTGCTCCAGAATGTAACTTAATTCAGAGCAGGACTCGTCCCCAACCAGACGGATACTACTGTACTAGAAAAGTGCCCTTTATTGACAAAGCAGATCTATTTTTATAGTTCATATCAATTCAGCTGCAATCGTACGCAGACCAGCATTTAGATTGTGAATGTATTTATATACAATCCTTCTCAGAGGTTTTACAAACGAGGCCATCAACTGTTTTCAAAGTTTTATACAAACCACTTGCTCTGATTGTTCAGCATCACCAGCGGTTACGACAGACTTCACTGTTCATTTATGTTCCTCTGATTTATCCATTAGAAGGGAAATCAAAGCACATTTCATCTTGATTTTTGTTCATCATCAGAGGCTATTTGTTGGCATTTCGATTACTCCGTGTGTGTGTGTGTGTGTGTGTGTGTGTGTGAGAGAGAGAGAGTGTGAGTGTGTGTAAATTTATGGAAGTTATACTATGCAAATTGTTACCTCAATTTTTTTCTAGAAAAAATTACCTCAATAAATGAGAATATTTTTTCATTTTTCTACAAAAGATGCCAGTGTCTTGCTTGTTCATTGTTTCCATAATGTTCTAACGCCAGTTTATATATAGTACATTATTATTTGTTTCAATTCAAATAGCAAAAATATTCACCTGTTAAAAAGTGAAGAAAGCTAAAGTTGTCTTTTACAGCTAATGTTTACTTGATCAATGCTGGAACATGTATTTCAAATTAATAGGGTAAGGAGGTCACAGCTGGCTTACAACTAATTATATCTAATTATTTTATCTACTTAATTTAATATTCTCAGTCATTTGTTGTAGAAAATGTAAGAAAGGTATGAAAAACATATTGGTCTATTGGTCTAAGTTGACTTGTCAGTTAGCGTGTTTTGTCGGTCCATAATGATTCAAATTCAATTCAGTTCAAATAACTTTATTCATCCCAAAGAAGACAAGAACAAAGACACGGAAAAAGGTGGCTGATGTCATTTTAAAGATCTTGCCACATTGGTATAAGAAGATGGATCTGATTCTGAACAGTGTGCATCTCCTTGGTACCACCGTAAACGGCCGCCACAGGCAGATCATTATGCAGTTTTTACTGATGGGATGGACTCTGACGGGTCACCCCATCTGCAGAGAGCTCGGCATAAAGTTCGTGGAGGATGTCACCGAGGAAGAAAGAGAAGCACATCTCGCTGTGCGGCCAAAAGTGGAGCAAGCATGGAAAGCTGGGCAGAAGGTGGTCAACAGAAGAGGGCATGCAGACATCAATGGACAGAAAATGACTCCTTAGTTAGCATCCTGTGTTGGGTCTTGAATCCCTAAATGTGAGTTAAATGTTCATGTTCAGCCGCCTCTACGTCTTTCTATACTAAGGTAACACCCATATTTTGTGCTGTACATTGTTCATTATTATAAGTTCTGTTTAAAAAGCTATTTATCCTTCATTTCTATCAATGCAAGGGGCTGAAGAGATGCTACCAAAAGAAAGAGTTTTTTCTCATTTTGTAAAGGGAGAAATGCTCGTATCATTTTATTACAAGAAACTCATTCAAATCCAGAAGACGGTACTTTTTGGTGTAAACAATGGG